GTCGTTTCCTGTCTTTTGATCCTTGTTTGGGAGTTATTTGTGGACGTCCCCATGATGCAGGAGCACGGTGAATGAATGCCTCTATCCAGGTTGCATTTGATAAAGACTGAGCCATGTCCCGTGCAACCCGCTTTAGAGGTCCGTTACAGATCCTGGTTTGACTCCTGTTCGATCTTGCCTGTTCTGCCCACCAGCTAAGGACACATAGGGTGGCTGCAGGGACTGTTGGCCTCTTTGTTAATAAATGTACATTCTGCAGAGCTCTCCCGTCTGTGGGAGGCTGTTTCTGGAGGAAGGGTACCCAGAGGACAAGGTTTGCCCTGCTCTGACAGTACTGAATAGGCCTCCAGGACCCTTTCAAGCCATCTGCCCCTGAATTGGTCATGCTTTAGGAGGTAATGACCCAAGAAGAGAGTAGTTGCAAGAAACTGGGAGCCTAGAGTTCCTAGATGCTATTACAGAAACAAAGCAGTATAAATCTGGCTTGCCTTGGAGAGGGAATAGACGCTGCTCCAGCCAACAGAAACATCTGGAAGAAGGAGCAGATCCCTAGTGAACAAGGGAGCAATGAATGTGCCAGTCGCTTCAGCGTGTGAGGCAGGACACGGCTCTTGGGTGTCCCCAGAAAGTGAAGCATTCTCTTCTGATTTTTCCTGTGTTCAGCCACTGTCCTGGTGGTTTCAGCCAGCCGCTGTGGAGGCAATCACTTGCCCCTCCGCCGTAATCCCTTGCTCCTTCTCTCCCTGCCTCAGCTGCTCCGGAGCAGCGCAGATCCCTCGCCTGTCAGCACAGATCAGGGGATGCTGCCCGCGTGAGACGGAGTAGGGAGCACTAAAGGCCAAGCGCTGCTCTCGGAGCTATTCCCAGCACTCCCATCGACTGCAGTGCGTGCTGTGTGTTTGTATTGGAGGCAGGATTAACTAAACACCGAGGCGCTATCTTCTACTCGAAAATAAAATGCATCCATGCTTTCAGGCCATTATGTGATCTGGTTCTCCCTCTTGCTTTTAGATGAGTATAAAGTAGAAGCTGCTTGAGGTTTATTAACTAATAACCAAGGAAACCTGTTTTGAGTGTCAAAATCTCACGAGGCATCCCTTCTTCTACAGAAGCTAATCTGGTATTTTGCTCTGCGGAGATGGACAAGCGTTTAACTCAGCTACAGGACAATCTCTTGGGATATTTTTAAGCTTGTGGTTTGATAATAAGGTGCTGCTGCTCTGGACTTTGCATCCTGTTAGTTTGCTTTAATAACCCATGGCCAGTATCTCTGCAAAAAGGTTCTGGACAGGGGGATGCTCTCCCTCACATCGGCTTCTCATTCCAGACCCTGCCTCTGCGCCTTCTCTGGGGAGATGCTAATCTCGCAGTGTTTTACTTTCTGCTTTTTGGTCCATATGTGACAACTGTGTGTCTGATCACCGCAATCTCTCACAGTTATTGTACCCCAGGGAAAGGGAGCCAAAAAAACATATGGGGCTAGAGAAAACGGTGTGCTTCACTGCACACAGGCATATTTCAGAGACAACAGACTCCCTGGTACTTTGCAGGAAAGATGTGGGCTCTCTGAAATCTTCTGGAAGTAAAATCAAGGCTGTGATTTCCTTTTCCTCAACCAGTGCTACAGAAATGCAAGAATTATTCTAAAATCAGTGTTTCAGTTGTTAAGATTTTAATAATCTTGTATGCCATTGGCAAGGCCCAATTGCTTATTCACTGAGGACTGCTTCGGCCAGAAAAAAAAAAAAGTGTTATTTTTTTCTGCTGATGATGTTGGTTTCTTGAGCAAACGGGCACACAGGTGCAAACACCTGCAGATGTATACACGCTGGGGTTAAAAGTTACGGCCCGAAGTGCTCATATGAAAACAGTTGTAGACTTGCACCTTGTCTAGCCCTGCATCCGTTCCCACCTCTCTACATGGCTGCTTCTCCAGTGGCTCGAAACAAGCAATTTTCTGCTCTTATCCTTTTCCTTCATCCAGCCCTCCCCATATGCGCACACAGATTTACTGCAGCCTCTTGTAGCCTTAGCAACTGCTGCCACTTAAGGTTTGTATGCTGAGGAAAAGGTAATGGGTAGGGGAAATGCCAGGGGATAGAAAGGAGCATCCTAAACTGGGGGAGAAGGCAGATGCTAAATTGTCTGAAATGCCTTTCGGTAGCCTTGTTCCCAGCTAGACACGAGTTTGCAAAAGGTTTTTCTTGGGCCCATGCGTTTCCTCACCCAGTCAGTGCCGGGCTGAAAAGTGGACATTACCCAAACTGGGGGCCTGGAGGTATCTGCCTGGAGCCCCGAGATGCAAGTGAGCTCCTGGAGCTGCGCAGAGGAGGGGTGCAAGACTAGGAAACAGATCCAGTAAGCAGAACTTGCTGGAAAACTCATCCAGCAACTTTGTGAAACCTATCATAAAAGGCCCTGCAAAGATCAGTCCACTTTATCCTGCTCTCAATATTGAGCTTGCATAGTCCCATCAGCGTTGCCTTCTGCTGTCACTGGGAGCCCCTGAGACATGGAGGGAGTCACCAGGACAGGGATCTGATGGCCTGTGCTCAGCTGTAGAGGCTAAACTTGGAATATCTACAGCAATTATGAGCAAGTGAAAAAAAAGAGTTTGAGAGGCATGCCTTCACCTTATGTGCCAGTATCCAGCATTGCAGAGTAATGAGCGTACTGTATTATATATGTATATACACAAGACAGGAGTGTATTGTAGCATTATGTTTGTGACTTGAGAAAACCTTTAGTCAAATTCCATGGTGACTGCCTTTTTAAAGCAGCTACAGAAAGTCTTCCAGGAATAAAAGACAGAATTGTTAATGACATTAATGATTGCAGAAAACTTTACTGTGTGAAATATTCATTTAATACATTGTTATTCCAATGTCGTGCTCAGCAGAGATATACTGGACTGGGTATTTGGCTATTGCCATCATGGGCCTAACGGTACCACCCAGACCAACACAAGTGCATGTTTTGAGGCTCGTAAGAAAAAGCTGTCTTAGGGCTGCATCAAAAAACATAATGCCAACCTGTCAGAGCCTCTCAGAGTATAAAATAACAAATTACAAAAAATAATTGCTTTTCTTAAGTATCATCAGCTTAAAAAAATCCTGTAAATCCCTACGTAAAGGTCTGTCTTTTTATCAAACACCTTCTTAAGGCCTTCATTAGAGGGAGAAGCCGTTCAAGCATTTTTGTAGTATTGACTCAAGGGAAGGAGCCCCAAATACATCAAAATCAAGAACATTTTGCCTGTTTCATATTCATAGTTTCTTCTTAATGTGTGACTGATTTATTCTGCTGCATGCCCCCAGGGTGTGCATTGTCCAAAATAAAGGCTGCCAAAAAAAATGAGAACAGGGAGCAAGACTGATGTTTTTCAATGCTGTGAGACTATTGCACATCTTGCATCCTCATGTGTGAATTCACCTTATGGTGTTTCTTAACAAAAGCATACTCACTAAATAAATAACTTCAGCACAATGCAAGATATCATGCCTGAAAATAGAAAGCTGCTCCGAGACAATTACTCCATGCTGTGAAATCCGCTCTCTCCTGCTTCTGCATTGTCTCAAGTTGTGCTTGCGCTCTAAAGCTCTGTGACTGTGCCCTGGAAAGTACAAATGCACAGAAAGCAAGTGCCCATGATTATTTTAGGCTCTGGTTTTGCCTAAGAGAGTGGTTTGCTTTTCAGTGACTTTTTTTTTTTTTTCTCTCTGGCCACATATGGATGTTGAAAGCAAAGGGAGCACAAATTACTTTGACAAAGTCAGCAAAGCCGGCTCTGCGGAGTGGGCCCTGAGCACAGCGCCCACATGACAGAGATGCAGACTGCAAGGCAGAAACTTATAAGCCACTACGGGCAAATATGTTTCAGCGAGGGAAAATATGTTTCAGCGAGGGAACCGGCAACTTGACAAAAGGCACGGCTCACAAGGCTGCCTGCAAAGTTTGCCCAGGTGTTGAGGAGCAGTTCGCTAAGGGCGGCAGTGAGGGGGATCCTTCTGCAAGGGGAAGCTATTGTTAAGCGCCCCGACAGATGAGAGCATACCCTTCTCCTGCCACAATAGCTGCTCACACCGAGCAGGACTCATTAAATATTCAGTTCCAGCCTCAAGCAGCTCATTAAGTCAGCAATGAGCAGTGACGCTGCTGTTGGAAAACCCTGCCTCAGTTAACATCACCATGCAGAGCCTCTTTGGATCTCTTGATGTTATTCTGCTCAGTACCTTTTCTGTGATGACCAGCTTGTGCTCTCTGCTTTGCATTAAATACAGGTAAAAAAAAAGAGTCAGGTGGATTTAAGTTCTCCTATTCTTTATAGGCCTTTTCAGAGATGAGTCCTGGGGCCCGAGCTAAGTGTCTATTGCATTTTTTCTGTGGCAGCGTATGTAAGACAAGTTTGCAGGAGGAGGATGGGATAAGGGTTATATGGCTTTAGTGTTAAAAAAAAAAAACAAATAAAAAACCGTAATGCTTGAAGGATAACTTCCATAGCAGAACATCATGACATGCAGCAGTTACAGATGCTGTATGACTGTCTGTCGGCTGTTACAAGCAGAAACTTTTACAGTAAGTGTGTTTTCCCTGGAAATGCTAGTGTCTTAGGTGGCTTTTGGCTTGAACTGTATGCTGAATATGTTTCTTGTGTGCAGTTTCTTTCTGAATGATGTATTTGAAACCTGTTTTGCAACCACTAACTTTTGTGAGCATAATTTTGTATTCAATAGTACTTAGCAATAATATAAAGAGGCGTTTATGATGGGTGGATGTCAGATGTCAATGAGTTAGAACACAGAATCTGGAATTAGGATTGTAATTGTGGAAAACGCATATGCTTTCACGCATCGATGTTTTAAAACTATAATGTCTGAAAGCGTGGAACAGAAATGAAACAGAAATGGAGAAGCAGAACATGGGCAAAAGTTTTCAGCTTTTTTTTCAGAGGGCAGTTTTTCACACCCTAAATCTATTTTTTTTTCTTTTTCCTTTAACAGAAAGTGTTTTCAGACTGCCCATTTCTATGTGGAGGACAGCAGTTCCCCCCGTGTGGTTCCCAATGAAAGTATTCCCATTATACCTATTCCAGGTAAGACGGGCTTAATCTCCTGTGTTTGTGCTTCTTGGAGGCTGTTTTAATTCTATAAAGAAAAGAAGGTTGTGCTTGTGATAAATCATGGGGGTTTGGTAGAAGTTTGTTCTATCCGTGCTGCTTCATTTAATTTAAGTTGCTTTGCAATGGGGCTCTGAGTGCCAATGCTGTATTTTTTCCATAGGCACCTCTCCCACATTCTTTTAATAGAAATTTCGGAATAACCTTTGTAAAATGTCAAACACATGAGCAACATTTCTTAAAAACACTAAGGTGTTGCATCCAGGGTGAAACCAGCTGCTCCACCAGGGCAGGTTGTGGGCGAGGGATATACAGCTCCACCGCTGCCTCAAGACCAGGGGGCTGGCCCCCCGCTTCCAGCATGTGCAGAGGTGGGGTCTGCTGGGTCTCGAGGAGGAAAGCAAGACACAGGGATCAGCAAACAATCTCAAGTAAAGTCCAAAGCCATCTGTTAACTTGGTATTAATCAAGTTACCAAAGGTCACATTCTCCTCTCGGCTAGACTGAGAGCGAAGCTGGAAGCGGAGTTTAGCACTGTTCTCTCTTCTTGAGGCATTTCCCCTGGGAATCATTAAGTGCAGGATCCAGCTCCCTTTAAGCAGTGATGACAGAGAGCAGCTTGGTGTAACGGTGGCCTTTGCAGCCACTGCCTTGTTTGATGTTGCTCAGTTTCACAAGCAGAATTAAGATACCCCAAATGTTGTATTGACCTCAGTCTGTCAAATGCTTGTACTTGTTGCTTCAAGGTGTTTTAAGTTTCCTTGTTGTATTCTGTAATGTGTGTCTTTGGTCTAGGATTCAATCTGCAGCTAATTAGATTCATTTTACCAAAAAGCATTGAAAGCCATCTCTGAGACACTGAAGAAACATGTGTCCTAGAAAAATGAAAGAATCCAGTTACATTTTCCTTGACTTTATTCAGTAGATGCGTGACTATCCTTTCTAGAAAGAGTCTTTCAAAATACCCGTGGGAACTAGTATGAAAGGTTAGCTGTTACATTCCTACAGAAAACGTTACTCCTTGCGGTCTGATGCTGTGCCACTGAAAATAAAAGAAAACGTGCTATAACGTGCTATCATCTCCTCTCCTGTCTGTAGCAAACTAAGATGCACGTCCTGGCCACTTCCTTAGCAAGAAGCCACCCTTCTTCTCCTTCTCCTTTAGGGTAACTTGAGACAGGAGGTTTTAGTCTTAAACCACCTGCGATGAGTTTTCACAAAAGAACCCTGATAGTTGGAGAACTGTTCTTCCTGCTCTAAAACCAGGAGGAGCACTTCCCTGTTGGGGCTGGTTTTGGCAGTCAGCTTAATGGTCCCACCATGCCTGCTCTTGTGTGACGCCTCCTTAGGGCTTGTGAGGAAGAGGAGGGTGGGCTAACCTGGACTCTGCAAAGCAGTGTCAAAACCCGGGGGATTATGAGCACAAGGCACTGGGAGGAAAGAAGTTCTCCCCTCAGAGAGAAGTCTCTTTGGCCAACGTATAGGGTTTTTAACAGCAATTGAATCAAATTTTTCTTAGATAAAGAAACCAGCAGAAAGCTCCATCTTTTCATGCTGCAATCTGGGTTGTTGAGACAGCGGTTCTTCCCTATTTCACAGGGATGTTTTGATGGTTAGTCCATTAAAGACTGGGCAGCATTCATATAAATTGTAATAGAGGCTAAAGAAGCTCCATTAAAACTGTTCAGCTGGCAGGTGCCGTGAGGCCAGCACTAATGCTTCTCCAGCAGCCATTCGAGCATGTAACAACAAGTGGCTGAGAGCAGAACAACGCTGCCTTTTGGGGACATCCTCCCATGACTAGAGCAAGCCAAGCTCTTGGACCACAGGAGCTTTGGGACGAACGTGATGCACCCATCACTGCAGTGCACCCCATGCTCTGCTCAGGTTCAGTGACGCTGAGGAAGAGCCGCTCACCCCTGATAGTGGGCACTGCAGATTAAGGCACCTCCTGAAAAACTGCTGCAAGACGCGTCGAGGAGCTTTGCAGTTAAAAATCTGCAAGGACTGCTGATGAGCTCTAAGGCACGTGGAGAACTGGGCCTTAGATGAAGGTTTAGTCTAGTGGTTTATTCTAGCTGAATGTGGCCCTCAAATTCCCAATCATGTGACAAGATTTTTGTCAATATAATGGACATTTAGACACCTGCATACAGACATCCAAATGGAGGTGCCTTAATCTGAAGCTGAATCATGCCCAGAAGGTCTTAAGAGAGAATGAACTGATGAACTTAAAGATCTTGGCACTGACAGTAAAGCTATTCAGGCCATTCAAAAGCCAAATCACCCTCTGGAAGTCCCTCTCAGTGTGTATTACCTGTACTCATCTGTAATGAGGCTCGAAGTTAGTAGACATAAATTCCAGCTATGTTGGCTTTTTCCAAAGATGGGAGATACTGCCTGAAAAGATCTTGAAGCTCTCCTAAACATTTTCCTTGTTTGGAGATGTAGAAGAGGCCTGTTTTCCCCCATATACCTGTTGCTAAATGACACTCTTCTCTGACGTCAGCTGCTGCTCCCACATAGGCAGCCCACTGAAATGCCTTAAAAACATTAAATGACAAAATTCTCCTTTGAACTGATTGCAGCTGATGAAATGATAAGCCTCTGAACTTTTCTCCTGGAAGCTGCTAGAGGGTGTGAGAAAGTCTTACTTGCCATGTTGATCCTAGAAGCAAAATATAAGTGGCATTTTCACAAAAGCAAGTTTTTCAAAGTAACCTTGTTAACTTGTAAAACCCTATCCTTACAAAAGATACTTGAAGAGATCCCTGTGGAACCATGCATCTACCTCCTACAATTCAATAGACCAACTTTTAATATTGGTTGTGTGCAAGCAGCCACACTGATGGCGATTTAGAGCAATGTGTCTGAAGACGCTGAGTAGATTTGCCAGGGCCCATGTACAGCATGCAGTGAGCCGCCGGTCGGAGGAAGCCGAGCGATTTGGGTTGGCTGGTCCTGGCCCAGGTGTGGGGTGGCTCTGCCAGGTGTCTGGCAGCCAGGCACAGCGATGTCCTGGTGCAGCTCAAGAGGTTTCAGAAGCGGGCTCTGGTGTCTCTGCATGCCACCACTCTGCTCCGTGACATGTCAGCACGCTCAGAGGTAGCTTTTGTGTTTATTTCTGCACCACATTTTGCTCTTGTTTAGGCAAACCTTCTGTTTTCTCAGGTCTGTGAACTCTAAAATCAATCTGCCAGCTGCCTGTAATAGGCACGCAGTACAATTTTTCAGGTCCAAAATCTAAAAAAATTGTCTTGTAAATGAATGATTTTACCCATTTTCTATTTCATTTCCCATGGCGTACGTGCTTAATTATTGTGCATGAAGCCACATCACCCATAGGCGTGTGCTTATCTGTGCAAATTTGCTCTGAGACCCAAATCATTATCATTATTCATAATTATCTGCACTGCTTGATCTAGAGAAACACAGGACAAAGGAGATACCATTAACTGAGTCACCCACTGGATATTACAGCTGAGGTATAAATCTAAACTCACACAAGCCTTGCGCCTGACAGTTATGCATCTGTAATCAATGGCAGATTTCTGAAACTCCCCTGCTATTCAGCCCAACAAAATTATTTCTCTATATCTTCTCTTTTTGCCTCCACACTCAGTTAATTTTGGCCATGTCCATATCATCTTACCCGGATCTCTTCACTGTAACATTTGGTCTTCGCAAGATCTTTTTCTCAGCAAAAACCAGCTCCTGTTCCTGTTTGTTGGGTTGGGTTTTTTTCCATAGCTGGGTCAGTATCTGGTTAAAACATTTCTGGACTTGATCCTTTTCAGTAGAGTTGGATAAGTAAGTGTAACAGCAGCATCATAGCTCTATGTTTTCAGCACTGCAAAACAAAATGCATCCCCATCAGTTTTCCTTTGCTCTCCTCACAAGACCCGCTCCACGACAGCAGTGAAGAAGTGCACCTCTGTGCAACTTAGATACCATCAAATAGTGGAACTAGCACAAATTCCACTTCTACCTTCCTCTTCCTATCCTTTGTTTCAGAGCTTTCCCGCTCTTGGGTGGTGCGTTGTTCTGGAGCTTGCTGTGGCTTTACTGGTTCTGTGCCCAGCCCACGGGCACAGTGGACGCTGTGGCACAGATGTCAGCAGGACTTGTCGTGAGATCAGGACAAGAGATAGTTGAGGCTTGACCCTACGGCAAAACTTAAAACTCCACGTAGTCTTGACCGCAGTCCAGAGGAACATGGCTCATAAAGAACACAACGGCTGGCTGATGCAGCTGATTCATTTAGCATATTATTCCAGGTGTCTTTCACCATTTTTAGTATAAGTAAAATGTCTCAGATGTGATGCCAGTCATTTCAGCTGTGTCTAGACTACCAGACCAAGGAGCACTTCCCAGTCGTTGGATCAAGGTGCATGCAGATTTAGGTTTAAATGGCAGTAAATTAATTTTTTAACTAGTACTGGAGTTTATGAACAGTGTATTTAAAATAGCTAGTGACAGAATCTGATTGATGGAGAAACATTCTCATGCTTCTTCCAGAGTGACTCAGTGTGGGTGCATGAGCCCAGGAAATAATGGAGTAGCCAAGTGCGTTGCAGTGAAAAAGTGTCTTGACCACCTCATGCAGACATGTGAGGGTGTGAAGGCCAGTATAGCCATGGCCATCCTTCATTTCCCTCTGTCTTCTCATGGTTGCAAGGAGTTCCATCAAGAGTCCATCTCACTAACTCTTAGCTCCTGTTAAATCTCTGCAGAATTTTGAAACCTTCTTCCTTATTCCTTCAATAACCATGGTTGCCTTGAACCTTGCCTGACGAACATCAGTGATTAGACTTGATGTGGTTTTTACGAGCTCTCTTTCTGCACTTCTGATACCTTCTGGTGGCATCCACCCTGTGACAAATAGTTTCTATTAAGAGACTGTAACAAGAGGTATCTCATTTGACAAGGAAACTGCGGGTTCCCAACAGAGGGTGGTATCTTACTGTTTTCTGCTA